TTCTTCCCCTACAGTTCACTGGCAAAGCACAAGGATAGCTGGATAGAGCTACTGTTGGCTTCAAGTACCCAGCAACCATGACGAGAGCTTACAGGCACATGCAGCCACTTCAGTCTAAGCATGTACAACCCAGTCACTTATAGCAAATCCTAATTACGTTTTATTGTGTGATTAATAAAACCAGGAGTTTACGTTTTACTGTCAACAGAGAAACAAACACCCTAACCCAAACTGTCCTTCCAGATCCTTCGTGCTTCCATGATTTTACATAAAGTAAACCACACATTGCCACCAAAGGTTCCTTAAACAACCCCAGTATATTCCACCTGGAGTATAAAGGCTCTTAAAATAACCCAAATAGTAGCTGCTGGGGAAATGAATTTTTATTCACTTTTTTTTTTTTTTTTTTAAACAAACAGCTACAGAAACGGAAGATTTTAATCCACAAGAATTAAACAGTAATAAAGCATCACGGTTACAGTTACAGAAGCACAAAAAAGGAGGTGGTCAACAGAAGTAGAAACAGCATCAGCACACAATAATGGAACTTTCTCCTAAATCAGTAAGCAAATCAATCCATCTTCATTTAGGATAGTGCTACTTCCCCTGGCAACTGGAAATGCTTCCCTGGATTAAGTAATTGCCCGGACAAAATAGCAAACCCTATGGGAATGCTATAGCTCAGGGGTGAAGACAGACAGCTGCCTGATGTGTCAGAAATTAAAGAAAGCTGTTCAAAACAGACAACTACCCCTGCACTCTATAGCCTAGTCTCTAAAGACTTTTGAGTAATCAAATGCAGTGGCCCTTATGAGATCTGTCCAAAGAAATCTCTATGGGCTCAAAAAGCTTCTGTACAGGAGTGTGTGGACAAGTCCACCCTGAAACTGCTGGGCTGGGACCCACAGGGGAAGGGGGACTACATGCAAATGTCAAATCTAAACTACAGAGGCAGCTGAAATTTTGCAGTGTATGCAAGACAAAAGTGATATTGAATGCCCAATATATTCCCACAGTCACTGCCACAAAGGCCTTGCACAGCTCACCTCCTCCTGTCACTGTGACAGGAGTGAGTCAGTGCTGCCAAACAAGTATATTTAGAGCACAAAGCTCTGTGCACACCACCAGCCTGTCATTTCATCATCCACCCTTCAGTATGTGGCAGGCACGAGCTGAAGAGGCAGCATCTAGACTGTGGGGCAGTGTGTTATTTACTGAGCAGAGACAGATGGCTAGTTTACAAAGTATTGACTGCCACAGGAGATGTTTTTTCTGACCAGCTCCAGCAGTCATGTTAAAGCTCAACTTCCCACTGATTTGCTACCTATTGTTTCCTTATGAAATCAGTTTGTTATCAAAAAACACAAACGAACCTTTGAGTACTCATGTGTGTGAACCATGGCTAAGACCTGGCGTAACAGCTGCTTCCTGCTCCAAATTATAAGAAGCAGTTTAACAAACATACAAGGGTATTCCTCCACAGTGCTCACCTGGCAGAAGGAAGGACAACCCTTTCTGAAGTTTTTAGAACTGTTTTTTTAAAACCATCAGCATCAAAACCTCAACTGTAACCAGCTGCAACTCTCCTTGTTAGAAGAGCACAGCAGAGGGGGCTGCCAGGGGTTAACTCCCTGCCCATTAACTGCAGCATTGTGCTGAGGGCTGCAAGGACCAGAATCAAAGTGCCTGGGCAGCTGGGCTGTGCTCTGGCCCCAGACTGTCACATCCGATGAGCTGCGGCTTTTTTAAGCATTGCTTGCAGCTGTGTGAAGCAGCCTTTAGAAGGAAAAAGCTGTTCCAGGAGAGGCTGTGATGGCTGCCCCACAGGTGCTAGTGCGTTCACCCCAGCACGAGGTTGCTCTGGGCACACTGAAGAGACCTACCGGATCAGAGGCAGAGAGCAGGCACCTCTGGATAAGAGCCTCAAACGTAGTCTTCAGGATAAGGTGCTCCTCCGGGATGGGTTTTTTGGTAATCTTCTCTGTGGTCAGTGCCTGCACATGCTGAGGAACAGAGAGCAGCTGAGGCTTTTCCAGGTCACTGTGACCACATGTTTTCAACTAAACCAACTGGCATTATTAGCAAGCTTGGCACAACTCCCATCCGACACCGCAGCGCTGGGGCTACGTTACCTGGACGGCATTGCCGATTGGGGCCCCAGGGGCCCCCTCCGTGCTGGGTTTGGAAGCAGTGGGTGGCATGATGCATGGCCCCAGGGGCTGAGGAGCAGGTGGGTAGCCACCCTGCAGCACTGGCTGCCCTGTGGGGACGTGCAGAGGCTGGAAGCTGGGTGTGCCCGTGGGTGGTGCAGGCGCTGGAGGCTGCTGCATCTGGGACTGCGGATCCGCCAGCGGGTTCATGATGGGAGAGGTGATGGGAACCGGGGGCTGGAAGTTATCAGGGACCTGGGAGAAGAAAAAAACAAAACCACAACAAAACCCAACAAAACCACCAATTTTTGCATCTGGGCCTGGGGTTCCGCCAGCGGGTTCATGATGGGAGAGGTGATGGGAACCGGGGGCTGGAAGTTATCAGGGACCTGGGAGAAGAAAAAAAACAAAACCACAACAAAACCCAACAAAACCACCAATGACAAAACCAAAACAGTGCATTTGTGCTGCTGTAGCTGCTGCAGGCTTCTGCAACACCCATCTTCTACAGACTCCCCAACTCACAGTGGCTGGGAGCTCTGCCAAGCAGACAACACAGGATTTCACTCTGGCCAAACAAGCCCATTCCTCTGGCTGCAGCTGCACAGTGAGAAGTGCCCTGGGGCAGTAATATCCTCCAGTCCTGTGCCCTCTGCCTGTCCTCCTGCCCACACAGGGCGGGAGCAGTCTGCCCAGCCTGCTACTAGTCACAATAGCCAAGTACAGCCACCTCAAATCAGAGCTGCTCTCCCTCTGCTAACGGCACAAAACATGCATGGCAGACCAGCACCAATAGAAGAGTCATGCCAAGGAAAACTAACCCACACCTACACCTGTTCTTACTATTGGGTCATTATATTTAGATTTTTGTGTCTCACTTTCAAGGGTACATTTTTGTCTAAGCAGTACATAGCTCACAGCTAGCGACAAACACAACAAAGCTTCTGAGAGCCTTTCAAGCCTTCTGGCAAACAGGTTTATGCTAAGGCAGATTATGAGCATGTTTCAAATTTATCCCTAAGCATCTGCCAGTCTTTACACAGGGGTGTTTTAGAATCACTTGGTAGAGGGAAGAAACAACAAAATGAGCTGTTGGCCTCTCCTGTGAATCATACAGAAATCCAAATAAAAGAGGTCTCATGGGTATGCACACATTTCTTTGGGTATACACAGAGGAGAACAAAAAAAGGAAAGATTACAGCATCCTGAATGCTATCCTGAATTAATGATGCCAGAATTAAGCTAGTGGTTTGGGAAAGCAAGAAGAAAAAAAAAGAATTCCCAATATATTCCCAGTATTCCCAGTCCAGCACCAAAGTCAGTTATAAAAGCAGTGAATCACAGGAATAAACTTTTGAGTGGTGGATAAGTTCTCAAGTTAGGCGGAAAACAGTTGCAAATTATGCTGCAGCTTGAAATGCCAGACAGTTGTTCTATTTTACAACAGCCCATGTGGGGAGTCATTCTATAATATCCTAAATCACCCCCTCATACAGTGGACATAGGGGAAGCAAACAAACATTTCTCACAGAGGTTTGTTAAATACCCAGCAGGGAATGCAACAAAGGCAGCTCCTCTGGCTGTGACAGAGAGCAGTAGCAACCACCCTGTTTGCAGAAGGCTGCTTCTTGAGCTCTCAGGTCCAGCAGTATTCTCACTAACAACTTTCTTCTTCCTGTTTAAGATCCTGAAGCCCCAGAAGGCAGCATGCTGGCTGCTTTGCAACAGATGTCCCAGCACCGGGGCAGTCAGGAGCATCCCCTATCCATCCTCTGAAGGCTTCTTCACCTTGAACTACCCAGACAAATACCCAAAGGGTCAGAGAGACTTCTGCCTTCACCTTCACCCAGACCTTAACTTGCCTGCTCCAGCCTTTTTTTCCTCCACATACTTCATGCACTTAAGACTGACTCCTACTTCCCAAGTGCACCAGGCTTGGAGAGCAGCGGATGATGCTGCTGTGGAAATACACGAGGCTACAGCAGCAGCAGGGGATGACCTGGCTCACTCTGCTCTGTGCCCAGCATCCCCAGGTGTTCTGTCCTACTGCACTCTAAACCCCTTTTGTAAAGCTGCATTGTCTCCATCATGAAAACTGTCTCTCAGAAGATCTCTCAGGGTCAGACCCTTCATCAGGATAAACTGCTTTCAGCTCCAAAGTCACTAATTTATAACAATTTGCACAGCCTCATCATTTTGTGTAACTATCACCTGCAAAACTCATCTGCTTTACTGCAGATGAAAATAGTCTGAGGTATTTCCTTACCTCAAACCAGGATCGATGCTATTAACTACTTCAGCAAAAAAGTCACCATCTCTTTAGAGACTTAAATATTTTGAGAGAGACAACATGCATTAGAGAGGCATAAAGGCCATTTCTGCTCATGAAGTGCAGCTTTTGTTTGCTGCTAACCCTTCTTTTTCCTTCTGCCAACAAGTTTCCCAGGAGCAGCCTAAGTTACTGCTTTTCACATGGTCAGCACTCAATTGTGTTGAGATAGGATTTCCTAAAGTACCTTCTTCTTTGCAGCTCTGCTCAGGGCAGGAGGGTCGTTCCATCCGTTCTGAGGCCCTGGGACAGAAAGAAAACAGCCTGTAAGTACCTCAGAGGCAGGCAGTGATGCCTTCTTGAGCTCAGCTGGGCCAGATCCCTGTCATGGCTATACTGGCAGGGGCTTGGCAGAACCTGCCCTCACCTCCCTGCTCACGTGCCCTTCACTGGAAGCTACAGCAGCTCCTGCACCAGCCAGAGCCTCCCAACATCCCAGCCATCAGACCCTTTGGGCTCTGCATCCACTGTGCAGGTTTGGCATCTTGACCAACCGTTCTCAAATTTGACAGGAATTGATTCCTTTAATAATTAAAAAAAGAATAATTAACTTTTTCTGCTCTTGCAGAGAAAAAGACTTGGAGCAGACACACCCTGTGAAAAGGCAAGCAGTTGCCTGCCATGCTCAAAACACAGCTCCACCACAGGCTGTGTATGTGAAGACAGGTTCAGTTACTGGTGCAAGTTTCTCCCATCTGTGTCACATAAGAAACGAGAACTGGTTTTCAACTTGTTTTCCCATGGTCACCACAACATTGTCATAAACAGTCATCAGCAGCAGAGATGTCAGAAGCCATGGGTGAATAAGAACACCATTAAGCTGCACCCACTTCCCAAGAGCTCCCGTGGCGGCTGCATACCCTGATATTCACAGTTCTGTCTCCATGACAGTTAAGGCCATGTATAACTGTGTATCATGTGTAGCCGTGCATACACGCCAGCTGAGACATGTTCCCTAGCAACACGACACAGAAAGAGGCATAAAATGCAACAGGAGCCTTAAAGATTTCAGGCCAGATTCATCCAGCCACCCTGAAGACACAAAAGAGCCATAAAACCAGAGCAGAGCAGCTGGGGCAAGGTGGCAAAATTAACTTTTTGCACCAGGGTAATTTGTTTGAAACTCGAAGCAGCACAGAGGATGCCTGAGCAGATTGGCTCAGAGTCGTGGGTGTTGTTCTGCCCCAAGGCTCCTGCTCTTCTGAGGAAGTGTGCCGTGCCGGTGCGAGGTGTGCAGGGGAAGCTCCCCCCTCTAACGGGGGCACAGCAGTACAGCGCCGCCTCACCAGCCCTCAGGCTCTGCTGCACAAAACACCAAAAGCCAAAGCCCTGCTCAATGGATTTTTCACCACAATATTCTTCCACTTATCAGATGATGAATTCACCTTAGATAGCAGACCTTAACATCACTGTAGAATTTGCTCAATTTATCTGACTTCATTTGCTCCTGAGCTTTTGTTAAACAAGTTCCACATCAAGAACATGTCAAAGGGGTAAATAAAAAAACAAATTATAACCCCTTTCACATCTGCTTGCTCTTTAACCAAAGGCAGTGCCATTTCCTGACAGCTGTGTGCCCCTGTGGCTCCTCTGTTCCTCCCTATCCAGAAAATCAGAGAGTATTTCTGATACAGGAAGTCTAAGTTCTGCAGTGCTGATAGCAGTAACACATGAAGAAAATCTCCCAGACTGTTACTGCTGTTAGTCTCCTGGAATAATTTGCTTTAAAAACTAAAGCCTAGCATCTGTTTCTGTAGTTAAAAACTCCAGATATATTGTTACTGATTTTAAGGAAGGCAATTTAAAAATTTATTTAAAGTCTAAATTGGCAAGCAGCATCACATTTAATGTTCCCTGAGGAACGTATGTATTATTGATATCTGTTCAATTCATTTCATTTAGTGGCTGTAATTATTTTCAAGCTTAGGTGGTACCTAGTTCACTGTGAATGGAGAGGTCTGGTCCTCACAGTTGGTAGGTTTTCTGCAGGTAAAATGCAAAGAGAACTACAAAAATTTATTTTAAAATAATAAAACAATTGGTCTGTGGCTTTTGATTAGCACCAGAAGTTGGGGAAAAACAAAACAGCTAACTTAATTACAATGCCAGCTTAGCTCCCAGTCATTTGTCCTACCTACCCTGCTGAATTGCTTTTGTCTGTTGTCCCTGAATACAAGCCTGCTGCTCCTTCCATGCAGTAAATCAGTGTTTCTGACAAATGTTGCAGAGTCCTTGGCCCACTTTATCTCTTGCAGTGTGGTTATTTTCTATTCCTAGCAGCCAGTGCAGCCAACAGACCATTACTCTTAGCAACAGTCTTCTCAACATCATTTCACCATTCCAGAAAGCTTTTCAGGAGATGCTTAAAGTACTTGACTTCAAGGTGGACATCAAGTATTTTTCCAAATCAAGGTATGCTCTCAACTGCATCCAGCCCAGCCAAAAAAAAGGAAACAAAATGTTCACACAGCAGCTTTACACCCATATGAAAAGACATTACCTGATCAGACTGAGCAACAAACCAAATGGGGCAAAACATAGCAAATAAACTTTCACCATTTTAAAAAGAGGAGGAATGTTAGGGATGAGTTAACCCCTGTCCCCTGAAGTTGGTCTGATGCACTTATAGTTCTGATGCAAAACTGAGCTAAGGGATCAGCTCAGAAATGTGCTATCACAGTTTCAAACAAGATTCAAGACTCTGAAAATTACAACTCCCTTGAAAGCAGGTTCAGAGATCTATCACAAAACAAAGTGAGATAGGCTGAAAATGAAACTAAATGCAGGCTTTTCTTGCTCACTGGAGCTCCAAACACAGCATAACATCCTGGTATTATATGCATTTGAAAAAACAGAAGATATTTATAGAACTGTTTCTTTTGAATGCATCTTTAAATCCAAGCTGGTTCAAAGGTCAGGTGCTTTTTTCAAAACTTTAAGATCTTCTTTCCTCCCTCCCTTGCCTCCTGCCTTTCAGTGAATCACATTCATAAAGTGAGACACAATGTTCCCAGATGAGATCACCACCACATACAAAAGCACACCACTTCAATACCAAGATCAGCATCACTACATGGACCACTAGATCACTCAATTTACAGGTGAGATCTACTTCTGGATGCAGACTTCCGTGGTTCTATAGGATCTCATGCCAAGGTGTCCTTCACTAAGCAATGCAGCCACTCTGAGAAGTCTGTTGGTGGTTAAGCATATTAAGCATATACATAGTGATTTCTGCATTTACAAAGCAAGGCTCTTTTCTTTCTTACTTATATGTATTTTGAAAGGCACTAGCTAAAAACGGGAAGAGGACAGAGTGTGCTCTTCAGACATGTCTTCTCTTTCTTCCACAGTCCCCCAGCTGCAGGCAGCAGTTACAGGCCAGCAGCACACACATGAGCCACGTGGCCTCAGCACCTCACTCTGCCCTGGAGTGCACCTCTGCATTTCGACCCAAGGTTGGCATTCGCCAGGAATCACAGATGATGTCCAAATTTGGGTTCCTGAAGGCTTGGCATTTGGTACTGGCTGCTGCCTTCTCACTACAGCTGCTGGGAAAAACACAAGCAGCACTAACAGTTTTCAGAAAGTGTTATAAAAAACCTAGTATGGACAACTTTTAATTTGAAAGGAAATCTAGCAAGGCAGTGTGGATAATAACTGCTTCAATTTCCTTTGTATTAAAATGACATGGACAAGAGCTGTTAGTCTGTGGGGATTACAAAATTTTACAAATCGACCAGTATTGTCATTAATGTCCCTATTTTCTGTTGTCCAGAGTACAGAGCTTCACCTGCTCTGACTGTGCTGCATGGACTATATCATTCACTGTTAATGCCAGAAACTTGGCAAGTGGCAGGTCTGAAGTGCATGCCAGTGATGCAAGTAGGGCAGTAAAATGGATAAAGAGCAAGTTTCTTGCTCCTTGAATTTATTTGGAGGTGCAGAAGTTATGCTGTCTGCATTATAATGTTCTGCTTCACACTGCAGGCCTAGAACCCTATTCAGCACCTCTTCCTCTATCTGATTTAATAATTTCTCTGGCTGAGAGATAAAAGTTTGGCATGCCCCACAACATGGGGTCAGGAGAGGTCATGGTACAGCACCTCCAAGAACAGAGAGGACACCAAATCTGGCTGCAGTATGGAGTGAAAAGGCCTCTTCTTCCCTTGCTGCCCTGGCAGCTGCCCTACACCAGTCCTCTACTTTTTGATAGAATGGAAGACTCTTTCTCCCCAAAACACGAGTGCGTGTGAAGACAATGCCATGAGAGGTGTGATATCCCAGCTTCATGGATGCCAGGAGCATTTACTCACAGGACTGCTGCTGCCAAGACAAAGGCAATATGAGTTTTCTGTACTGCATCACCCCTAACAGGCTTCTAAAATAAGAGAGGGAACCACACTGGGATCCCTAGGGCCTGTCAGCAGAGTAAGCATCTCTGGAACATCCCTCAAGTCCTGCCTAAAGCTCCCTCTGCTCACTGCTTCCCAGATCTGGTCCTTGACTCTCCAGCTGGACCACCCGGAGGTGAAGTAGGTTTATGGCCCGGTTTAGAAAAGGACCACTCATACTTCCTGCAGTCTGACATGTGCAAAGCTGTTGTTTCACAGGCTGCTAAAGGAAGAGACAGGTTTGTTACCACAAGCAAGGCCACTGTCCCACAGCAAACAGTTATGTCCAGCAGTCACAAGACGACACTGAGCCCCTTGTCAGTGCATGCTCTCTCATCAAGCATGCTCAAACATGCTTTTGCCAGCCACACATGCTTTTAATTAACAGTCAGGAAAGAGACATGTAAAAAGCATTTCTAAATCATTCAGATTATCTTTTAAGGCATTCACAGCTAGGGCAAATCTCATCTCACAAAGTGGCTAGGACAAAAGAATAATGGAAGTGAGGTGATGCCACAGGAAATGCTGTTTGAATTGAATGTTGCCAATCCTGGGCCTGAAATGCTGCTCACAAATGAGGGACACGGGGACAAATTACACTTGCAAAATTGTTCTGCAAGAATTGGGATCATCTTCTCTGTAGCAATTAAGAAAAGTTGTTAATTTCTGTATTTTGCTTTCCAGCCACACAGCAGGTTTTGACACCAGCCTCACAAGGTTAAAGCTGTGCCACCTTCCCTCCACAGTACATGACAGCCTCATGACAGGACGATGCTGTAGAACCCTGTCTTGGGCAAGAGACAAGCCCCGTTTGTGACATGGTCTGGCCTGCAAGCAGATGACTGCTCACACTGCTCGGCGAGTGCTCACTGCAGCACCACAGCTGTACTGCTGCCAGAGGCACAGGGGAGGTAATGTGTTTTAGAAATGCTATGAGCTCATCCCTAAGCAAGAGCAAACTTTCGAGGGAGCGCTCACAGGGAAAACACACGTTTAAACCGAGTGGAAAAGCCAAACCCTCCTCCCTGCATGTCCCCCCCTCCAAGCGCAGACCTGTTCTCTGGGATGCAGGCAGGTCACTGGTTGCAGGCAGAGTACCTGTTGGTCCAGTAGGTAATGCATAAGCCACAGAAGTTGCTGGAGGTCCTGGCCTGCCATGCTGAAAGGATGTGCCAGAAGGAGGAAGAGGGAAGGAAGAGATGGGATTCAGGTTTGTTGGGGAGGGTTGAGGTTGCCCAGGGTACAGCGGGGAGGGCATGGAGTGGGCAGGGGCAGAAGGCAGGTAGGGAGGGGTGGTGCTGGGGGCAGGGTTTGGGTAAGAGGCTGAAGCAGGGACAGCGATAGGCTGCTGAGGCTGATAGAGTGCTGGTCCCCCTGTTCCACAGGAGTACTGCTGTGTGGCCTGATACGCTACAAACAGGGAGAAAAGACATTCAGTCAGTGACTTCGTAACAGAGGAGCAGGCTTCATCTGCCTCTGCTTCCTTTCCCACCTGACTCTCCTCCCTTCCCACCCCCCTTGGCCCTCAAACCACCTACCTGCCCAGCCAAATCTTGGCTCCAACAACTCTGCCTGTACTTGCAGGATTGCTCAAAAGCTCAGGCTGCCACTGGGAGCAGGAGGGCAGAGAAAGGACTGCCTTGGCTCTTGGAACTTCCACTCTCACCCACGGACTCTCCTGCTCAGAGCCACAATGCCACACAGGGTGCGGCTGAGGCAACACGGGCACTGCTGCTCTGGCTGTTTTCTGGACCACTGCAATCCTTGCAGTGACTCTCAGGGCACGGAAACCCCTGTTCCAGGTTTGCAGAAAGGGAAAGCCTAGGCCAAGGAAGTGACCAGCAGTCTCTGGAAGTGAATGCCAACTCACAGCCTTTCACTGTGGGCCCTGCAGTTTAACTTCACTGCCTTTCTATGCCCATTTTTCCTGTCTGGTACCTGTACTTTCAGACCCTTGCTTTGTGTCAGCGTTCTGCCCCCTTCTTCACTCAACTCTACTACTGCCCTTATCTCCTCATCCCCTTTCCCATCTTCAAGGAGGCCCAATGAGAAGTGGATATCCCAGCTGCACACAGATGAGTTGAGTTCCTCTTTGCCAGGCCTGTGCTGCTTCTCCAGGTCTCACACTGTGGGGGTGTTTCTGACCCCAGCACACCCCTGGGAAAGGCCAGCTGAGGAGCGAGTTGTGAGCAGACACCTCAGCAGGAGGCAGCGTCTGACAGGGCACCACATGTCTGGATACTACCAGGAAATTACAATCCTCAGATGTCACCTCAGGAGCTTTATTCCCATCTTGGTCTGAACCCTCCCAACCCCAAGGACAGGGACTGGCTATCCCCCAATGAGTGTGGCCTCCTCAGCTGGCTGTCCCACCGGGGTGGGAGGGAGAGGGGAGCTGTTGGCACTCACTCTGTGGGTACGCTGGCCGGGCCCGTGCCTCCGAGTACATGCTGTAGCTGGAAGATGTGGCTTGCTGCGGCGGCACGCCGGGCTTCACGGCGTCGGGCATGATAAACCCTGGAGGAGGCGGGTTGTCTCCCTGCAAAAGAAAGATTGCAGGAAAAAGGGTAGGGGGGGAGAAGATTTAGTCAGCAAGGGTAGTGCAGCGCTGAAACGGAACTGTAACAAAATTATTAGTTCACATTTCAAGGCCTGAAATCACATTCCGTGGAAGAGTCACCAGCACAGGAGCAAATGCCTCCAACCCCCCCAGTGCCTTAGGGTACCCAGTGTGACACTGAAGACATAGCCTCTCTGTCCAGTGACTTCAGCAGCAGCAGAACAGCACATACCTTCCTGCACAAGGAAGAGGTCCTTGCCAGCAGAGAGTGCTCTGCCATCCACAGCTTTCAACTAAACTAGTTAAACATTAACTCTGAATCTTCCCATTTCCATGGGAAAGAGGGAGAGGAAAGATAATCACACTTCAAATACTCCAGTGTGGGGCAAGGGCTGGGGAAGGACTCAGGTCGCACTGAGCTCCCACTCAAGGATTTCCAGAACAACTCATCTGGGCATTGGCAAAAAAAGAGTAACACCAGATACAGAGGAGAAAAACCAGAGCACGTGTGGGAGCTGCTCCTTCTGTCTATCCATACCAGACTGTGTCAAGCACACAGACTATACCAGGGGACTTATCAGGGTGGAGGCAGGGGCTCAGGGAGGAATAATGAAGGTTATACCTGTGTGTCAGAGGGACAGCCTGCAGAAGGATGGCTGGGAAGGGCAGTAGGAGTTTTGTTACTCCAGGTAGTGACAGTAGGGGCAATTCTAACCTGAATTGAACAAAGAAATACCAATCATGGAAAACAAAACAATAAAAAAGTCTAGAGGGTTTCACAAAATGAGATGCACGGAAGTGAACACAAAAAGATTTGCATGCTAGCACTTGTAACAGCCACGAAGTCTCAGCAGAAGAAGGAAAAGTGCATTCAAGACAGTCAAAAAATCACTGTGCACTGGAGCTGAAGTGATTTGCATGGTGAATGTGAAGCACAGTGGAAATGCAGCTACAACAGGCTGTGGAGCAAGTGCAGTGTTATATGTGCCAGTGAGCCAGGTCTGCCTCTTCCATCACACTTTCCTATTGCAGAAGCATCCCCCAGGCTACTGCATGACACTGAGAATCACCAGCGACAACTGGAAGTCCCATGTTCCGTATTAATTTCAAACACAGTACTCCACACAAAAGCAATCGGTTTACATTGATCATAGGATGAATGTAAAAAGGTTAAAACCTGATACTCAGCTCTTGCACATGCATACACATCCATCTTAATGCTAATTGCTTCCCAGCCAGTCTCCCACAGCTCCTTTCCTCTGTCTTCCTTCTTCGACACCCAAAGCCCTTCAGTTCCAGATGGCCAGTACTACCTTCCTGACAGGACACAATCCAAGAACTTCCCATGCCAGGGACACCCCTGAGCATGGAGAGGGCAAGCTGCTCAGCAGCAGGATGCACAGCCAGGGCCATGAGCCTGACACCCTACCTAAGGGCAGGCAGAGGGAAAGCTGCAGCCCTGAAATTCTGGCTGGCTGAGCTGGCTCCAGTCCACCAGTCTCTACCCCTGCACAGCACTGGGCTAACGCTGCAGTCAGCCATACAACCACTGCTGCTGCCTGCATAACTCATCACAGAGTCATCTGTAAGACTTTTCCATCCCCCCTTTTCATGACTGTTTTTTTCAGATGAAAAAAGGGGTGTTCAGAAACCTATGCTGAAAGGAAACCAAGCTTTAAGTATATGTTCCTGTTTGGGACATCAATTAAACAAAGGCTGCCTCAAGCTTGAACAAGCCCTCTGTACACAATTTCTTAAAAGTCAGTCAAACAAAGCAAGTATCCCAAGACTCAAATAGGTAATTTCTTTCCATTCTGACATGGCA